AAACGGAAAAAAAGAGGAGGAGGGAGGGAGGGAGGCGGGAAGAAGGAAGGAAGGAAGGAAGGAAGGAAGGAAGGAAGGAAGGAAGGAAGGAAGGAAGGAAGGAAGGAAGGAAGGTTGAATCACAAAAAAAAAGATAACCTATTTCAGAAAAGTGTGTGTATGTATATCCATGGGATTCTGGTAATGTCTAAGGTAATGTTTTCATAAATAAACTGTAATGATCTAAGATGATAAAACTCACGAAAGGAATCATGATTGAGTTTGTTGCAGCACTTCACTGTGCAGCGATGCTTTTGTTGGCCCATTAGTTGCAAGTCTTGCCTGATAAAATCACCAACTAGCGTCTCTTGGCTTGCCAGAAGTTTATGATAGGCCTCAGCTGGAGTGTGCTTTCTCTGTGAGAGCACACAATCTTAGAAAAATGTTTCTTTTATAACTTAAAACTCCCCAAGGGTCGAGTTGCTTATGTTAACATGATACCACATCTATATATAATCAGCAGCTATGAAATGCCCTGTAACAGCAATGGACATTAGCTGTGAAATGTAGCAATTTCAACCCTGCACCTGTTTGTTCTGAGAAAAGGAAAATAATCCCTGATCTTTTCAAGTTATATACCATGAATTAGACATTATCTTTTGTGTGTTACTTTATAAGATAGAATATCTATGAGGTTATATATTCAGCTGTATGTAACAAAAAAACATGTTTAAACAGCGTAACATTGTTGGTAATGTCTACTATGGACAAACGATGCATTTCCTAGATTGATCTGTTGGAGACATAGGGTGTTGCTCAGTGGTAGAACATTTATCTAATATATACAAAGATGTAGATCCAAACCTAGCAAAAAATAAAAGAAAGAAATTCGTAGAGCGAAACCTATGCTGCTCAGATACCTGAGAGATCAGCTTAAAAGGAAGAAAGCTGGACTCTGGCTGGTGGCTCTTAAGGTGTCTGGTGGCTCTTAAGGTGTCAGACCATGGTTTTCATATACCACTGTTCTGGGCATGTAGTGAGGCAGAGCATCATAGTATATGTTCTTTCTGATGTGACAATCCTAGCTGGTATGAGTGTGTGTGTGTGTGTGTGTGTGTGTGTGTGTGTGTGTGTGTGTGTGTAGAGACAGAGTCAAAAGTCTCAATATATAGCCCTGGATGTCCTAGTATTCATTTTGCACACCAACCTGGAACTCCATAGATATCTGCCTGCCTTTCCCTCCTAAGTGCTGGAATTAAAGGCTATGTCACCATCCACCTATATTCCAATTTTATATGTATACATTTATGTAGAAGTGGTTGTGGGTTTAGGACATGAAAATGAAAAGGGAACCAGGAGACAGAAAAAAAAACAGGATTTAAGGAAGAGACATGGAGTGTCATACAACATATGAGACATGAAAGGGAAAATACCAGGGACAGAATGGTACAAGTGAAAGGGGAAAGGAGTTAGAAGGGACAGGGAATTAAGCAAAACTAAATATGTATGAAGATGTCATGCTGATGCCTGTTGTTTTGTATGATAGTTCTTAAAGAGAGTGTCTGACAGAGCAAAATTATCCACCTCATAAGAGCAAGATGCTGAAGTAAAGAATGCCAGCATTGGCTGGCTTCTTCATCCTTCTTCTTTTACTTCTCCTGGCTCTCCAGTCTCTTATGTCTTTGCCTCTCAGTAATTCATCTCCAGAAGCATCCTCATAGACGCATCCACAGGTGTTCTACACTAATCTCCTAGTCAGTTCTTATTCCAATGAAACTGAAGTCGATATTAACCATCACAAAGCCCTAATCCCAATGAGATTATATTTGGAGATTCAGTTCAGGTAATAATGATTGCAAGGAGTCCTAAGGGTGGCATCCTAGCCCAACAGGATAATGGCCTTAAGACAGCAAAACAGAAAAGCTTCCCTTCTCTCTATTGCTACTTTCATATACCAAGGTAAAATCTAAGGCAGAGATAGCAGGCACCTGCAGATCAGGAATCAAGCCCTCACCAGGAAGCAAATCAACCAATAACAGAATCAAGGGGTTCTCAGGCTCCAAAACTGAACAAACTCCATTTATGTGAACTACGCAGTCTCCTTAAGGTTTCACATCCATTCCTTTTATTTCCAAGTTCAAGGGCTCAAAGCTAGGGCCTTGTACCTTAGACGCATAGCAACACACGTAGGAAGACTCTCCACGGACTCTGCTCCTTCCAGAGAATCTGTCCAACACTTCTTTAATATACCCATTCTCACTTTTGCATAGCAGACCAGAATTGCCACCTGGACTGATTCCAAACCAGCCAGTTGTGAGACAGATAAGAGTATCATGAGTGTGAGGTGGGGAGAGTATCATATGCCTAAAATCAAATATATCCCTGGAGCTGGTATCACAGTCCTGTTAGCCAGGAGACAGAATAACATAAGGTTTTGTTATAGAGAAAAGAAGAAGGCATGCTGATGGCTGTGTGGCCCTCAGTACTTCCTGTCATCTTCAAGCACAGTTACATCTTATGTAGGAGGGAAAATTCTAAATTTATCATTAAAAGAAAAGAATCACATGTATTCAAAATTTCCTTTGAAAGCCCATAAAACTTCATGATACTTTTGAGAATGGCAAAAATCAGTAAACTTGATTGTGGTGGTTTGAAAGAAAAAGGCCCTCGAAGGGAGTGGCACTTTTAGGAGGTGTGACTTTGTTGGAGTAGTTGTGACCTTGTTGGAGGAAGTGTGTCACCATGGGGGTGCACTTTAATGTCTCCTATGCTCAAGCTACACTCCGTGACACAGTTCACTTCCTGTTGCTTGTGGATCAAGAGGTAGAACTCTCAGTTCCTTTTCCAGCACCATGCCTGCCTGCATGCCCCCTGGCATGAAGATAATGGACTACATCTCTAAACTGTAAGCCACCTCAATTAAATGTTTTCCTTTAGCAGAAAGGTTGAGTCAGGGGAAGAATAGAAGAAAGGATATGTGATAGGTAGGGTTTTAGTTGGGGGGGATGGTAGGGGAGAATGGGAGGGAGAAGGGAACTGAGATTGTCATGTAAAACAATCTTGTTTCTAATTCAAATAAAAATGATTTAGAAAAAAATAAATGTTTTCCTTTATGAGTTGCCATGGTCATGGTGTTTCTTCACATCAATAGAAACCTAAGACATTGACACAACCTTTTGTCACCATTTGAATAGATTTACATTTCCTTGAGCCATATTAGATTAATAACCGGATTGCATGTATAGGAGAGAGGCATGTTTTCAACTGGGAAAGACACAAAAGACAGAAAGAGGCCTCTCTGAACAGATTAAGTTTTCTCTACATTGAGGTGGGAGGGTGTGTGAAAGCACCCACACAATACCAAAACAACAATTTATAAAACTGAATGGATCTGAAAAAAGCAAAACATAGTATCAAGAATGTCTCATGGTTGTCAATTTTTGTGATAATAAACATTTAAATTTCTCTTAATATCAGCAACTACACAATTTTAAGACTGAGGAGCCAAATAAGTTAGAAATCATGTTTGTTCTATGCCTATTGTGGTGGTGTTTCAAGCTGCCAAGAAATACCTACCTTCTTTGTCAACTGTATGAAAATTGATCTTCTCTTGTATATGCATTAATTTGAATAAAGTCTATAGTAATAACTTTTCTCAGCATTCAATCTAACCACCTTCACTTAAGCTGTTTTATTTTTTCTATCAGGGTCCAGAGTACTAAGTGTTTCAAGCTGACTTAACATGATATAAATGCCTTTATAATGTAATCCCATGTGTTTTGGCATACTAACATCTAACTAGGTGAATAAGAGATGTTGTTTCTCTATCCCTACCCTCCCCATGCCTTTGGTGGATTTTCTTGAATGAAGAACTAGTGCCATAATACACACACAAATAATGGAGGGGACATTTGTGTTCTGTCAGGGTAGGCAATGTAAATATAAATAAGATACATAAAATTTACCAGGATTGAGACCATAATACAATCTGTTAATAAGGCTCCAGGGACAGAAGATAAATGACCCAAACAAGATGAAGGTCAAGGCATATTCATTTGGCAAATG